ATTTTATGCAATAATTTATTTATGAAATAAATAATCCTGAAATAATAGTTATGAAATAATTTATTTCAGAAATAACTCATTTCGAAATAATTTAAATTATTCCAAAGAATGTTAAAATAGTGAAATAATTATTTCAGAAATGAATTCAGAGTTATTCCATCGAGATTATTTCGTTGGCTGTTTGAAATATTATTTCAGAAATAACTGTTATTCCCGAAATAATTCATTCGTGGAATATAACCATGTGAATTATTTCAGAAATAAATTATTTCAAGAGTGCCCAGGTCTATTTCGTATTATCTTCATTTATCTTATCTGATTCTTAGTTAGTCACTCAGTGTTCTCTTGACTGATTCCAAGGATAGATATATCATCTACATATCCAAAGATTTTATTGTTCATACCCTCGTCCATTTTCAAGTGAAATTCTTATGGTGGGGGTGAAGTTCATCCCAATTTTGGATTTCAACTTGAATCGTAAGATAATTTGATCACAAAATTGAAGAAAAATGTGTCTTACAACAATATTGGGTCTTTTGGTCTATATAACCTCGGTATTTTGGAATGTTGATGGAAGAGATCAGGACTAACGGCCTAATATTTTTGTAGGTCAACTTTTTCATCAAATTATCTTACAATTCAGGTGGAAAACAAATGGATGATTATAGTCAATTAAATAGTTAAAGTTTACTTATCTCCAGATCAAAAGCGCTCCATTTCTGAGATTTTTTTACGAAACTTTAAATGGATGTTAATAATGTGATAAAAACGATAATATAAAGTGGACCACAATTTTTTGCAATGTTTATTTGATGAATTATCTTTTTGACAAGCTTATAATTTTGTTTGTATCTTTTTTTTCTTTTGGCGGCTGTACTTTTTTTGTCCATAGCAGCTTGATAATTTTTAGCTAGGCAGAGGACTTTCATTTTTATTTTTTTCCTGTATTACCATTTCGCATTTTTCCGTGAACCACTTCATATTTTTTCGTTTCTTCTAAATACCAATTATTTCCTGAGTTGTTTCTTTAAGCCGTGTTTCCATTACTTCCTAGTTTTGCTTTACCGCGACGTTCTCTGAGTATAGGGGCTTGAATTTATAATAATAATGCTTTATTTATTCTGAAACGAGTCCCTTTAGAATAATACAGAAAGACAATAATGTGGGCTAAAGAGCCTTAGAAATAGCCCCTCAGGGAAGGGGGAATGTGGAAGTCACACGATCGAAAAGTTGCGGGGTATCGTGACGTCATATAAGAAGTAAACTTTGTACGTATCCAAAAACAAGATGGCAGCTGGGTACTCTCAGCCTCCGCGAGAGGAGTGGAAGGAAAATGTGGAGGCCGCCCGATCGAAAAGGGGAGTGACTAATGGTCAGGTGACTGATCGCGTGATTAAAAAGGGACCTGTCTAGATAGTTAACATAGGGATAAGGTAAAAGGGAGCGTATAGTTTATATAAAAGATAAATATTGAGAAGGTTACAGGAAAACGAAATGGCGGACAAAGCTCTAAGTCTCTCAAACTGTAGTAGAACAAAATGGCGGCCGGGCTTGCCCTTTTACAGAGGAGTGGGAGGAAAATGTGGAGGTTGCACGTCGAAAAGGGGCATGGCTAATGGTCACGTGACTAGGTGGTCAAGATAGAAATAAGGTAAGAGGGGGCGTGGGCCTAAGGGTCACGTGTTAGACCACGTGGTGGTTAAGGCTGGCTGGAGGGTTGACCATGTTGTTGCTAAGGCTGTTTATGATTGGCTGCTCACAAAAGTGCCCCAGCTCGCCCAAATTCCCTCTACTAAGGATGTTGCTTCAGTTTGAAAGCTAGAGCTGCCTAGGATTCTCCTTGTGTAAGGGATCAACCTTAACGGTACCAAAGAGGGAGGCTCAAGCTCTTGATTTAGTATGTAGGAATACAAGCGGACTGATCAGCATCCAGGCTTTGTATCGAGAAAGAAAATAGGAAAAAGAAGGATATTAGACACAGTGAATAAAAAGGCAGTTTGATGAAAACAAAAAAAAACGTATATGTGTTATATATTGATCAACTACTTATACAGTCTACACCCCGAAGAGCGGAGATCCGAGGACCTGACAAACTCCTCGAAGGACTGTAGTAATCATTCCGCCATGACTAAATCGGCTATCATGAGCCGTTACAATTACAGTTATTTTTAAGCTTTGATCAGTATATGTTATCGCTATTAAAATGTATTAATAAAAAGTATTTACAATGTATATACATATTTCAACTGACAATTTGAGTTTTTACCATACAATAATAAGAAATAAAAATAATTTTTTAGATACATTGCACAAGCGAGCTCGTGAGGCGCTGCAAGGTGAACTATTTGTCCCTTGTAGGTTGTTAAGCAGGTGGCGGGCGGGAATATGCCACCACAACCCTATCAAACTGTGCCTCCTCAAAAATTTAAACCCCGTCAAAATGTGCCCCCTCAAAAATTTGCGCCATGAAATCCCATTCTGGGCACCGCTGCATAATAGTTCGTAAGAGAACACGTGGAAGACCGAAAACCATATGCACGGGCGGATCTACGGGGGGGGGGGCTTTCGGGCTGAAGCCCCCCCCAAAATGGTAAAATATAACCATGTTTTATGGAAAAATATATTAAAAAATTATATCTTAAAGTATTATTGTTCGTGTAATTACATTTTAAAGGACTTAAGGAATCACTTAAACACCATTTCATATAGATATTTAGTTTCTTTCTTTTTTTCCAAAGTAATTATCGTCATTTTTATGAAAAAAAAAAGCTTCCGGGCTGAAGCCCCCCCCCCAAAAAAATTAAATTCTGGATCCGCTAGTGACCATATGGATAGATTAAATAAACTAAATGCTGAAGAGCTGCGTGCGCCAAAAGATCTGTAAAGCTAAAAAAAAAGTGTTAGGTTTGATTGACAGATGGGTCAATATTAGATTGAGGGGGCGGGCAGCCGAGCGAGCTAACACATGTACAAAACACGCGTTTATCGGCAACCTGATAAACTAAAGATTACAAGTTCGATTCCCGGTGCTGGGAGCTGGCATCAATCCCGCTCGTTCATGGGTTAATAAACCACTGGTGGGTCCTTTTCAATTACCAACCAATGCCCTCTATAATCTATTTCTAAAGTGGATATAAAAAAGTGTTGCTTTCATCTACTTTCGGACACATTTGGTTGGTTTCAGGATTCAATGTTCAGTGTTGTTAATGTGATTTTGACTCACATGTAACTGCAATACTCACTTTATGTATTAACAAGACAAATTGTAATTTCTGTTTCCAATTCATCACTCTATATTCACTCATAATGCTGTTATTAGACAAAGAAGTATGTAACTAAAGTTATTATTTGATTAATCTGAGTTGGAAAAAGGGCAAATATTTTTGCTCACACCATTCAACTTATTTCTTTAAATTGACCCATTCAACATTAACTCTGATTTGTTTACTTGGTGGAGTAGGCTAGGAGGATTTTAATAGTAATAATAAATAATATAAAAATATATATATTTGTACCTAAGTGCTAAATTAACTTAAGTAATGTACAAAAGAAGAATAACATAAATAAATTAGTTCTCTGAAAGTTAGTGCATATGAGATGAAAATTTGCTTACATATGTTTAGACAATGTGATGCCACTTACTTTTGCACTTTTTCTCTGATACCCTGATGAGAGACGACACCATCCCATCATACCAATTCCTATATTAATAAATCTTATTCTTTCTTAACTATGTATGTTAATACATACTATTAAATAGTAATAAGCTATCTGTCCATACACAGATCAACCCTATGTTTTATTAGCGTAAATCAATTAACAAAAGATTGCCTTTAAGTGTCTATATCCACAACTTATTATGCTGCAAATCAGAAATAATTTTTTGAGCTATAGAAAAATTCTGTAAAATAATGCATCTTAAGCAGGTAATAAAGTAGGATTCTGTTTTGATAGTACCAGCCTCCAAATGCTATAGAAGTTATTCGTTATTAAAATCCTGTTCTGAACTTTTAAGTATAGAGTAAAACTAATTAACTATGTTAAAACTGTAGGATTTAAGGTAATATATAGAAACAATATTGAGTAAATAATAATACTTAGCTGCATGCTAAAATGCTGACTTTGCGAAGAACATATGAGACTTTCAGTTGAGAGAATGACTAACTCCAATATATGCACAGGTCTATATTTCAACACTGCAATCACCTACTCTGGAATCAACTAACTCATTGTCTACACAAATATAAATTTTGAACTAGAAATATCACTAAAATGACTTTACTCACAAATGTTGAAATAGGAGTTAGTCATTCAATCAACTGAAAGGCTCATATGAAGAGTAGAAAACGTGAAATAATATCCAATTGATAAGTAAATTGGTTCTCAAAGATCATGAGATTTCAGAAGTGCTTAGATACCTCTTACAAAAGCACCTCCACAGCAATTAAACAATTTATACCAGTTTATATCCTTTGAGGCATCTATATGTATTTTTTAAGTCATTCTGTGGAGCTAAGACTCTGCTAAACCCAATCGATGATGAATTGAAACTAAATGATTAAGATACATTTCTTTAATCTGCCACAGTCGAAATAGAAACCTAAGCCTAGGAATTAGGAGTCCGTTGCCTTACCCATTGAGCTACCCAAGTCTTTTATGAAAATGGCACAACACTGCATAAATAAATTGAATAAATAATTAATCTCTGGGTACTAATTTAAATTGATTTAGAAAGGATGGAATTTTGATCATCAAGGTAAATGATCATAAAGTTATAAATAAGTTATGAGAGTAACTTGAACTTATTTTTCAAAACATAGAACCATTTGAATAAGGGGCTAAAACCAACATAAATGAAAATAAACTTAAAAACAAATAATATTTATTAAAAATAGGAACTTTAATTCTTATAACTACTAAAAAAACATCACATTATTAACACTTATAAAATAATACATAAAATGATAGAACAGTTTTGTATAGAAGTCTTTTATGAAAATGGCACAACACGGCATAAATAAATTGAATAAATAATTAATCTCTGGGTACCAATTTTAATTGATTTAGAAAGGAGGGAATTTTGATCATCAAGGTAAATGATCAAAAAGTTATAAATAAGTTATGAAAGTAACTTGAACTTATTTTTCAAAACATAGAACCATTTGAATAAGGGGCTAAAACCAACTTAAATGAAAATAAACTTAAAAACAAATAATGTTTATTAAAAATAGGAACTTTAATTCTTATAACTACTAAAAAACATCACATTATTAACACTTATAAAATAATACATAAAATGATAGAACAGTTTTGTATAGATAAAATAATGAACATAATATAAGTTTGATTGAAAATTCTGAAAACGATAAGATATTTAAATAAAAATGAACACAGTCAATTACAAACAAAGAAGGTAGTATATCACAGTAGTTTTATTTACCTTTAAATAACAGCTGTATGAAATATGAACAATAAAAATTAAAATTAAAAGCTTATTAAGAGTAGGATTCTTCACATGTTTCAATCACCAAATAATTCTTTGGATGTCAGGTGAATCTGGCCAGAAAAATTCTTTGTGGACAAAAATATAAATAGTCGCGCAGTTTATGAGCACGGACCAACATGATTCTACAGCTGTGCACCATGAGTTGTTATAATTGATTTCGAGCCTCAGCATATAATAAGGCACAATAAAATATCTCAACTCTAACAATTTTTGGGGTACAAGACAAATAAATGTACAAATCCAAAATTGGACTATTTTAAATACATCAAGATTACTAGTTATAGCATACAAACTAAAGAGGTACAATGGAGCAAGGAGGTATTTGACAAGAAAATACTTTTCGTAAATTCTTTTCCAAACATAGAACGTATAATGGCGATTATCAGCCAAAATATAAGGATGGACCATTGTATTAAAATGAATAACCAATAAGCAAGCAATAAGGCTTATCAAAGTAATCCTTTTGTTTTCCCTAACTGCATTAAGAAAGTCTTTAAGGGATGGAATAAAATGGGGAAACCCAAATATTAATGTAAAAACTGAAAAATAAAATATTTGACACAAATGCACAACTGGTACATGAGCTTCTTTATCACCAATTACTATACCGTTATTTATATACAAGAAAACCAAAAATAATAAGCATACTAATAAATAATAACGGGAGTTTTTAAAACTATTTGCCACATAATTCTTGAGTAAGTATTCATCCAATAACTTTCTGAATGCCTGTAAATTAACAAGAACATTAGGAAATTAACATATACATTAAAGCTATTACAGAAATTTATAATAATAAAAAATTAACTAGATTGATATATCATTATATTTTATACTGACCTTATTGATGGACAAAATTTATAACCAGTTCTTACTGTAAAAAAGTGTATTTAAGCTTTAAAGAATGGTAAAAACGAATCTGACTGGCTATTTTACAACAAGAATTTACTTGGCCTACTTTATTGGAAGTGTCTTTTGGTTTTTGTAATTTCTTATTTCATACCTAAGCCCAAATAGGCCTGATTATAGTAATATATAGTCTTTTGTAAATAGTTGGAAGTTTAGAGAGTTTGTCTAGTAAGTGCTGGAGTAGTCGAAAACGTCGAGTGGTTTCTGGTTGTTTCAGCCTGGTATAAGGGTTCCAAGTGAGTCGTTTGTCCAGGTGGAGTCCTAGATATCGGATTTTTTTAACAGGGATAAGTGGAGTATTGTTAAAAGATACTGTAGGACAGAAAGTCATAGGTTTACAAAGAAGAGTAAAGGTAATTTGATGGAACTTATTGGAATTTATTTTAACCCTCCAGTTTTGAAACCATTTTTCAAGACTTGTGATCTGTGATTGAAGAGTTTGGGATACAATAGATGGATCGTTATTAACTGATAGGATGCACCTGTCATCGGCACAGGTGGTGATGAAAGTGTTGGGATGTCAGCCAGTTAAACTATGTAAAGGATAGGACCTAGGATACTACCTTGAAGAATACCAGCAAACTGAGAAAAAATAGATGAATGAGCATTGTTATGATTTACTTTGAAGTATCTGTTAGTAAGGTAGGAACGGATAATGAGGAAGTATTCAGGTGGTAGGAATTTACAGAGTTTGTATATCAGTCCCGGATGCCAGACTATCAAACGCCTGTTCAACTTCGAGAAAGATTCTCGTGCAGTACATTCCGCACTCCAATGCAGAGGAGACTACGTCTACCACATGATGGCAAATATAAAATCAAAATTGAAAACAGGATCCTGGCCTAGTAAATGAAAGATCTGTTAAGAAAGGAAAAACAGGGAAAGGAGTATAAGAATTAAGTGTATCAAGATGAATATCAAGCATTTAGGGTATCCCACAACTTGACACAAACAAATCAACAATTAGGCAAACAAAATTCAACTACTTTCACAAACTTCTTTTCTCTGTTCCAAATTAAAATGGCAACTTCTTTACAAATCCTCTTCCTCACCAGTTTTCACGCTTTCACCCGATGGATTAAACTCATAGTTTTTATCTTCCTCTAATGTTTTTCCATCTTCCTCTGCCCACTTTTTATTAGTTCCATCATTCAACTATTGTTTTTATCCTACAGAGGACAACGGACAACGGAGAACTGATCAACCCTCAGGAAATTCTTTCCCACTGTTTATTCAATCTGATATTCAATATCCAACCTGACTAATGGTCTTCTCAAATCCTTGGGGGACACAAGGTGGGTTTAGAGATAAATTGAATAAGCATGGAAAGAATATTGACCCTCGGTGCCCCACATACAGGGCTTCTGACACAGCGGAACACGCGGTACTGACATGCACAAAAATGGACCAAAACCAAGCCTAGCTGTACTGGAAAATTGAGCTATACAATCTTGGAGAAGAAGATCTCTCAGGACTGATGTCGTAGGATAACAATCCTCACTTCGCAGAGTACGTGAGAAGGTGGAAGGAAGAACTGGCACTCCAAAGGCCAACGGAACCAGGGTGTACCGGGCGAATCCCTGTTTTTGTTGTTCCTAAATATATAAACGAAATAAAGAGAGTTGTATCGGCGGCAGAGGCATGTGCAGATCCCATGTGCAATACCTTTCTATACCAAGCCATCAGAATTCAGCGACCCTCCAATATTTTTCACAGCCTACAATTTAAATACTTCATTCAATCCAGTCCCACTAGATCCTGTACCATAGCAGACCTCAAGAGCTACAAAAAAGTTCATATAAACAATGGGCCAATTTTCAACAGAAAAATAGCAAATCCAAGTTTTGTGGTTTTTTAAGTGAGTCATGTTTTTTACTGAATTGAAAGCAATAATTAAAGAAATATTTAATTTAAGTAATTAATAATTGGTTCATTTTAAACAACATGAAATTTACTTTAAATGAACATAGAGTTTATTATTATTAAAATAATTTACAGAGAACTTTTGAGCAACTAAACTAAGCTAAGTTCTGTTTTTAAAAAAATCATGAATTATTCGCTTTTTTTTATAATCATTCAACTATACTACTGTTACCCAATTTTTACAAAAAACATCTTCATTTAATAAGTTTAAGTTTGTATTAATTAAATTAAGATTTCTAAGGAAAAAATTTGAGATTCAGCTCAAGTTTTGTAAAAAAAAATGATATTTTTTATTCTGTCAAGTAAAATTATCCATTTTCAGCAAAAAGGACTACAATTAATTGTTGCTAAGCTTTTATTTCTTGCTTTTTTATGATCTGTAATGTATTTTAATAAACCAGATTTCCTAGACACACATTTTATTTATAAAAAAAATTAATTTAAAAATGACTGATTTTTCAAATATTTTTTCCGGTAAATCGGTTATAAACTGTGTTTTAATTAAAATAATAGAAGCATTAGAAGCATATTAGAAGCAGTTTATTTTTTTGATTTAAACATAAATTTTAGGACTAGAAACTTTTATTTTGTTACTCACAAATACCAATCAATTCCTATAATAAAGTCCTGAGTGAAAAGTTACAACCAATTTATCCAAAAAATATATGAAAAATCAGTATTTTTCTAATTTTTTTTTTTTATAAATAAAATGTGTGTTTAGGCAATTGGGTTTATTACAATACTAGCTTGAATATTTATAATAGCTGCGAGTAAATGAAGGGAGAGCATCCTTTAAAAACGATAGGTGGAAGGCATGTTCACAACAAAGAGAACTCCATGGAAGGCATTATGAATAGATTGATAACAATTGAGGCCGTGATGGCCGAGTGTTTAGAGCGTTGCTTGTTTTAGCATCCTCGTGCCTAGTGACGCTAGTTCGAATCCGACCTATGAGGGATTGATTTTTATTTTGTGGTGAACCCACGGAATGAAACTTGACCTTCCCAGTCTGGTTAGAATAGGTTTGGTGGTACCACTAGAACAACCCCTCCCCCCTGTGTGCCAGAAATGGTGAGTAGGTGGATATCCAATAAAAAATTGATAACAATATATACGGATAGTCAAGCAGTAATTGGGGCCCTGAATAGTTATACCCGCTCCAAGTTGGTAGATGAATGTAAAGGCAATCTAAACCTTCTCTGTAGTGCCAACAAGGTGAGGGGTAGAATGGGTGCCTGGGCACTCAGGCATTCCAGGGAATGAGAAAGCCGATTGCCTTGCAAGGAAAGGCTGTGCACAAGTGCTGGTTGCACCAGAGCCCGTTCATGGGATAAGTCTTGGCTGCTCCGAAAGGCATATTCAGTCAATTGTGGGTAATAAATTTAAACATTGGAAACAGCTTAGGAAACAAACTCATTTTAAGTTGTTCCTAGTAGGGCCCTGTCAAGAGAAGTAAATCACTTCTTCTAATGGACAGAAGCACCATCTAAGCGTGAGACAGGACTGTACACTGGTCACTGTCGACTCAATAAGCACCTCTTTAATTTGGGTGTAAGTGAGACTGCCATCTGCAGGCTGTGTGGCTTGGAGGATGAAACAGTCTATCACATTATTTGTAGATGTGATAATTTGGCTAGACTGCAACACCTTCACTTTGGATGTGATTGTATCACTGACCCTAAGCACTGCAAACTAATAGATCCTATTAGTATTAACAAGTTCGCAAAGGCATCTGGCCTGTTTCAATAGAGTTAAGGACAAAACACAATAGACCTTCTTGAGGTAACAGTGCGTTCCCACATTGGGGGAAAAAAAAGAGAACTCCATAAAGGGTGGTTTGATGAAGAATGCCGCGAAGCAACAGCTAAAAAATGAAGCCTATGGAAAGATGATCCAGAGACGCATCAGAAAATTGTGTGAATCATATAGAGAGTGCAAAATAATTGAGAAGAAGGTCCATCAAAGAATAAAGAGAGCCTGGGAAAGCAGGAAGGTGGAAGATATAGAACGTTTTAGAGCAACCAATGAAACACGCTTGTTCTTTCAGGGAGTAAATGAAGGGAGAACAGCCTTTAAACTGAGAAGAAAATTGTGAAAAGGAGAAGATGGTATGCTCTTAACTGGAAAGAAGGAAGGAGCAACGGAGGAAACATGGAAGAAGAGAATGAGTATGAAAGGAATGATGAAATGGATATGGATGCAGGGCCATATGGAAGCAGGAAGACAAAAAAAAAAAAAATGTGTAGTCTCATCAAGAAGGTGTAACCCATACCAAGCTGCACCACAGAATTCCTGTTTTTGTTGTTCCTAAATATATAAACATATCCTAAAATATAACTATATATATATATTTATGCAAAGAAATAAAGAGAGTTGTATCAGCGGCAGTGGCATGCGCAGACCCCATGTGCAACAACACTGCTGCTGAAAAACCCGTCTGCCAGAAATGGCTAGGAAGGGTGAAGAAAAAAAGAAAAGAAAAAGGGAGCAAGAAGACCTACCAGAAACATGGAAATGAAATGAAAATATTTATATTATCCTGGCACTCTTTTAGAACAAATTATAGATACAGAGAAAATGCCTGTATGGCCATACATTAATTAATTATATTAAATATTTACAAAATAATATTTCATTAAAATAAAAACATAAGAAGAAAAAAAACATACAGATATACAGGGTGTCCCATAAGTAGAGGAAAATTTTTATAGGAGTGGTAACAGACCTCAAGAGCTACAAAAAAAGTTCATATAAACAATGGGCCAATTTTCAGCAGAAAAGTAGCAAATCCAAGTTTTGTGGTTTTTTAAGTGAGTCATGTTGTTCTATATGCCATTCCCCGTCCTACTTGTGTATGTGTACAAATAAAAATTGACTCATTAATAATAATTTATTATTCCCTATTCTCCTCGCGTGGGCTCATTACCGCGTATGGGGAGCGTCCCACGGGTGGCGGATGTGGGGATGGTCGGTGGAAATTCCTTGGAAGTTCCGCCCGGCTAAGTCCGATGGACTCGCTGACCAACAATGAGAGGGGCCCTCCAGACTTGCTGGAGGGAGGGGACCTCCAGACTTGCTGGAGGTAGGGGCCCACCAGACTTGCTGGAGGGTGTGACGTAGGATTGAACGCCCTACTCACATATCTTTAGTTCACCAAACACCACAAAAAGTCATGGATCTCCCTAAGGTAAAACGCTCATTATCCGGAGGTAAACTAGTCCCCCGTTCGGGTCTCCGGGTGGGGACTGCTTTAGGGGATTCATGGTGCAAGTTGAAATATAGGGATTTAAATATTGGTACGTGGAACGTAAGGAGTTTAAACACAGCAGGGGGGCTAAAATCGGTCGCGAATGAGGTAAATGGGTACAATTTGGATGTCGTGGCTCTGCAAGAGGTTCGCTGGCCAGGGGAGGGCTCGATGAGGGAAGGAAAGTACACTATTTGGTACGGAGGAAGCGGGAATCATTGTTTAGGTACCGGGTTTCTAATTAGGAGTAGATTACTATCCGCTTTGAGCGACGTACAATTCTTTAGTGATAGAATTTCGGTAGCTACATTTCAGGGACGTTGGTTTAAAATCGCATTAATAAACATACATTGTCCGACCGAAGACAGTGACGATGAAGTCAAAAGTGAATTTTACGATAAACTCGAATGGGTTTATGATAAACTACCGCGAAACTACATGAAAATAATTGTAGGTGACGCGAACGCAAAGGTAGGAAGGGAAGAAGTTTATATTCCGACGATTGGTAAAGAAAGTTTGCACGAATATAGTAATGATAATGGGATCCGTCTGATAAACTTTGCCATCTCGAAAAACCTGATAATTAAAAGTACGACGTTTAAACATAAGGATATTCATAAATATACTTGGACATCACCGGATTCGCAAACACGAAATCAAATAGATCATGTCTTGATACAACACAGCTGGCAAAGCAGTATAATCAATGTACGGTCTTATCGCGGAGCAGAATGTGGGTCGGATCATGAATTAGTAATCGCGAAACTTCGACAAAAACTTAATATAAAAAAGAGAAAAGAAAACCGTTTCGATTTTGAGAATTTTAATTTGGAAAAATTAAAAAATCCATCAATTAGAAACCAATTCGAGCTAGATGTTAAGAATAGGTTTGAAGCTTTAGAGCTTCCTGACGAGGACCACGAGGATATTGACAAGTTATGGGTAGAGATCAGGGATAATATAAAAGCGGTCGGTAACTCGTGCCTAGGAAAAAAGGAAACTAAGAATAACAAACCGTGGTTTGATGAAGATTGCTTAAACATGTGCGAAAAAAGAAAAGCCGCTAAATTAAAAGCTCTAAATAATCCTAGCGAAGACAATCTGGAATACTTCCGAATCTCAAAGAACGAAACGACAAAATTGCTCAAAAATAAAAAAAGGGAGTATCTTAAAAATAAAATAATTGAAATAGAAACTAATAGAATCGAAAATAACGTAAGAGACATGTACAAAGGTATAAACAGATCACGTAAATATGTAGGGCCCGTAACGTCTGGAATTAGGGATGATAATAACAATATTCTGACCGATCCGGTTGACATATTGAATAAGTTTAAGGACCACTTTGACAATATTTTAAATACGGGAAATTATGATCTGTGTCCTCCTTCTGAGTACCAGAGTGCTGAACCGTTAATAGAAGGACCAAGTAAAGAGGAAGTTGAAGTAGCTATCGGAAAATTAAAATCATATAAAGCAGCGGGAATCGATAATATTCCTACTGAACTAATTAAGGCATGCGGGGAAGCTGGAGTTTCTAAAATACATCGGTTGGTTAAAAAGATCTGGGTGAACGAGAAATTACCTGAAGAATGGAAAGAATCTATTCTTATTCCGATTCACAAAAAGGGTCCGAGGACGGATTGTAATAACTATCGAGGAATTTCACTCCTTCCGGTATGTTATAAAATATTCACTTCAATCTTAACCAGTCGAATTACGGAATACGCCGAGGAAATTATCGGAGACTACCAATGCGGATTTAGACGGAATCGTTCGACTATTGATCAAATATTTTCTTTACGGCAAATATTAGAGAAAAAATTGGAGTACAAAGGTATTGTTCACCAGCTGTATATAGATTTTAAAAAGGCTTACGATTCTATTGACCGCCAGAAACTGTATAATATTCTAATTGAGCAGGGGATTCCAAAAAAACTAGTAAATCTAGTCAGGATGTGCTTGACGGAGACACTCAATAAAGTTAGAATCGGTAATAATTTGTCCGAAAAATTTGAGGTTCGTTCGGGCTTAAAACAGGGGGATTCACTTTCGCCTGTCCTGTTCAATTTGGCATTAGAACATGCCATTAGGGAGGTAATGCGAACCGAGAAAGGGTTGGATCTGGGCGGGACAACATCCGTGCTGGGCTATGCTGATGATCTGGTACTGTTAAGCGAAGACGTTGAAACTATAAAACTAAATACGACAACGTTAATGAAAGCCGGGAAAGAACTAGGACTCGAAATAAACGTGGATAAAACAAAATATATGGTTAGCTGCAAAAATGGCGATACTACTGGTGACATCGATATAGATGGTAATATGTTTGAACAGGTAGATAAGTTTAGGTATCTAGGTTCAACGATAACTAGAAAAAACGAAATTGAAGAAGAGATTAAAGTTAGACTGAAGGCGGGAAATGCTTGTTATTTTTCTGTGACAAAACTACTTAGTTCGCGCCTCTTGTCCCGGAACTTAAAAATTAGAATCTATAAAACAATTATCTTGCCTACAGTTCTTTATGGATGCGAAACTTGGCCACTTACATTAAGGGATGAGCAGCGTCTTAAGGTTTTTGAAAATAAAGTATTGCGTAGAATATTCGGACCGAAGAAGGATGAGTTAACCGGAGAGTTCAGACGGCTACACAACGCCGAATTGCGTGAGCTGTATCCGGGTAATATAATTGATGTAATTTCATCGCGGCGAATCAAATGGGCTTGTAAAGTTGTTGGGCTTAGTAACGAGAGAATTCCTAAAAGGTTAATATTTGCTGTGCCGAATGGTAAGCGTCCGAGGGGTAGACCGAAGCGAAGGTGGGAAGATTGCATTAAAGCCGATCTGAAGGGACTGGGTTTGGACGGCGAACGGTGGAGGGAGGTGTGTAACAAGCGATTGGTGGTGTCGGCATCGAACCTTCGGGTTCGCTAAGCCTTATTATTATTATTATTATTCCCTATTCTGGTTAAAATCATTGTTACAATGAAAATAATAATTATTATATAATAATAATAAATCATTATTTGTTACCTACAAGATTAATTTTAATTCTCTATGAAAGAACATAATATTCAACTAATTTAAATAATAAGTATTGAGTTACTTATTGCATAATGCTTATCTGGAAATTTTGCAAATAAAATATTAGGAGAGTAATTTCCTGTAAGAAAACATTTACATGATAGGACATGGTAAAATTTAATTAAATATAGGAAATGTACAAGTTTTTTTTTTGGTTGATTTATTATTTTGTGAATAACAAATAAAAAACTTATCTTTAAAAAAATACTATTTTTTATTCGTAATTCGAAATAAAATTTGCTCGAATCTTGGACATGGTTTGCAAAAATTTTCTGATTATTGAGTAGAAAAAAAAAAGGAAGATTAAGCTCTAATGTTTATATAAGATATTCTTACCTTCATTGGATTAATAAGAATATGGTCCTTTCTTTTACGTAACATTTTCTGACATATTTGGAATGATTCATCAATTATCAGGTAGCCAATCCAAATAACATTAGTTTGGCGAATCATAATTGAGCACAGACCTAAAACAGTATAAAAGTTTCAAATATGTGAAAAAACTCATGAAAATAATTAAATCAATAAAAATTAAAACATAGTGTTGGGGCCAGGGGTACTTCAAAATCAAAGTACAAATCTTTCTCCGGTGAGTTTCCTCAAAGGTGGGGAAAATTAGAGTAAAATTAAAAAATGAAGGAAAGGAAGGGGAAAAAAAATTAGTGAATAAAAATGAGACATGTAAAAGAGAAAAACAGCATGCACATCAAATATTATAAAATTACTCAGTTAATTAAATATGTGGAAAATAAAAGATCCCCTTTTGAATGTTTACAATATTTATTATAGCGACAAAAAGATATATACAAATGTTGAAAACAAAACAAAATAAAAGAAGAGTATTAAAATGCACTGAAATAAAATGAAACATAAGATACAATGGTCAGAGAAAATAAAACAAATTAAACATTAGGAAAAAAAATATAAATAAAACGAACTTCTAAAATTATAAACGAAATCAAGAGAAAATAAATAACTGTTTAAAAGAATAAAATTAATTTACAGGTGAAACGAAAATTAACTTAATGTTCAAATGTCTTGGTGATGGTGAGAATAAAAAAACAAAAAAACCGAGCCAAGTTGGAGGTTCTGCTTCCAACCTGGTTACCTTCTCGATCTCTAACAGTCGATGGTAAGGAAATCGAATCGATAGCCTATCGATCGATCAACGACTGCAGGTGCGCGAAACAGCTGATATCAAAAAATGGCGCTAGGTGAGATGTGAGGTGAAGTGAGTCTGGACTGGTGGGGGTAGACGTCCACAACTATGTTAACAAAGGCTAGTTCCAGACTGGCCACCTGGCAGTATTTTGATGTCTTAATCCCTAAGACTGGGTATTATTGCCGGGCTGGTGCATATACAAATGCGATACATCGCCAAATAAACCTAAATCTATAAACAATGTACACTTCTGGGACAATTATTCCTCATTTTTTACCAAAAAAAAAAAAATAAATAAATAAACCTTTTATTATTAACACTTAAAAAGGGGTGAATGCTGAGAGAAAAAAAATAAAGATCTGAGTGTATGCGGCGTTAACATATAGTGTATTTTATTTTTATTTTATATTAATTTTATTTTTAGTTCCAGAAAGACAGAAACATTAACCATTCTTCCATGAGCATATATTCTGTCAAACATTTTAAATGCAAGCCCCATATGATATGCAGAGAAATCTTGTGAATCACCAGGCAGTCAAGATATTATCATTGTGGCTGATTTTCAAAAAATAAAGAAGTGATCTGGTCTTATATTGGTTGGTACCACTAGGAATTTATATTCTTAAAAGACCACTGTTTGTGTATCTGTTTAAGTGTAGAGTGGGAAATAGTAAAAAAGTATAATTCATCAGTTTTTCATTTATATCTCTAAAACTGAAGGATTTGGTGGATCATTTATTCTTTTAAAATATTATAATTGATTAAATTTCCAGCCAAAGTGGTATAACTTTGGCGGTATAAGTATAACTTTCATTGTAATATCATTGCGGAAAGGGTGGTTAGGGGTGGTTTAACAGGAAGATGGGTACGGAAGTCTTCTCCAGTCTTTGCGGAATTATCAAGCTAGTGTCTTACCCAATGCTTGTCATTTCCCAGTTCTCCCTATCCCTATAAAAAAAGCCTACTGCCACCTCCTAGTGGTGGTCCCCGGGAATTCCTATGGAACTTACAGATGACAGAACTGGGGACATTCACCTCTATCAAATTGATACCTCTACAAGTGTAAGACCCCTTAGACACCCACCAAGCCAAAAAAAAAAAAGGAAAATTGAGCAGCGGCTGAGTGACAGGAGGTGTATAATAAAATGGGCTCAGATTTGAAGGGTCTCTTCTTTTTTTTCTGTTTAAGGGAAAACATAGATCTCAACAAATCTATTCCATTTAAGAAAAAGTAGCAAATTTATTTTCAGTCAAAAGTAAATCACAGATCTAAACACTATGCAAAATTAAGTAACTTAAAACCAACAAAAGAAAATTGAAACCCTACAACTACTCCATCATGCACAGGGGTGCCCATCCCTCTCCTCCCCCCCTCAAGGCCAATGGCGCATAAATCTTCCTCCAACCATCCCAAGATATTTTATGCCTTTCTTCTTCTTAAACAGTGAAAATGAAAGCAGAATTTAAATATTCATAAATTATATACAATTACACATACTGCAGTCTGTTCCATGCTTCCACTTGGCTTTTAATTTTAAACTTTTCATTTTTAAAATTCATAACACCGTCGAAATGTATCCCCCTCAAAAATTGAAAACCCCGTCAAAAAGTACTCTCCTCATAAATTTTGATGGCACAACTTACGCCATGAAACCCCCTTCTGAGCACCCCTGATCGTGCAAGTGAGAAGAAGAAAACAGTCTCTTCAGGGGAGATCTGAAACCTCATGAATTAAAATATGCCTTGGCTCACCTAAAGGAAGTAAATATATAAAGAAAGTCAGCCCTAATGGAATTCGACCTAGTTCATGATCTACCTAACACTGAATGCCAAAAATACAATCCTCAAGTTTTTCAACTAATGGTGGTAAATTATACTCTGGCAGAGGGGCAAAAATAGGAAGTTATCCTTATACTCAAAAAAAGGAAAAGTAGCAGATTCTCTGGCAAACTTTAGATCAATACACAATTTTCCCCCACTTTTGGGGGACTATTGCTGTACGGTATATGGTGGCGTCTCTGGGAATCTTTAGACAAAACTAAAATGTTTGATAAATTGCTTTGTACAATTCAGTTTTGGGATTCCAAGGGACGCCTCTGTTTCCCGTTTTCATGCGGAATTGAAATGGCTTTATCCTTCCTACTGTCGTAATTTCCTGGCACCCTTCCTCTTTCAAGTCATCCAATCCCACTGTCCTTCATATAACTCCGAGCTTTAATTCAAATCCTCTGTTCCTTCCCACAGTACTTGTTCCTGGTCTTCTGATTTATACATAAGGGCCCACCGAACCGCTGCCTTCGCGACAGATTGTTCATTATCCGGTCCTCATCTCAATGGAACTCGATCCCTTCCCAAATCCGTTAATTCAATACCCTTCCTACCTTCAAATCCTGCCCGTTCAATCATTTCTCATCCATCCAGTCCCCATAAAATTGTAAATAGATACTACTGTAAATATGTATATAAATTATTAGATCGTTCTTCATTATTTTTACTTCATATATTTTTTCTATTTTTTATTATTAACTGATTAAAATTAGAAAATAACTTATAATTATTTTATAGAAAACATTGGAATACCACCTAACAAGTAACTCAGCTCTCCCAGGATATAAAGGTTGGTTACCAACATAAATGAACTTTTAAACTGATTTTGATCGGGCATGGAGACAAAAGTTTCTGAATAAAGTTCTTGAAAAGAATTATCTACATAGGACCATGTCTGCGTAGCAACCAGTAGCAATATCAAAGCATTGCAATCACACATGCAACATGTGCTACAGATATTCTAGCAGTAGGTCTTGGAGAACGAATTTTCATTAAATATCCAAAAATCAGAATTTGAGTTATTCAGTCTTTTCACCAAACCCCACAAAGTAACCTTGAAATTCCAAAACAATTCACTTTCACAAATGAATGAAGCAACCTACCTTGGTGTACAGTCTCCTGTACTATGTTTAAAAACATAGGCCAACTAGACTATTGAAGAGTTAAATATAATTGAAAAGTATGGTCTGCAATGCAAGGGGCATCAAATATTCTCAAAAATTCCATTTTCAGTACTTGCAATTCAGCCAAAAGCTTTTCTGGAGCTATTCCAACCAGTATTACAGAAAGAAATATCCCCAAACTTAATAATAAGAGGGTATATTTGAAACACTTGCTGAAAGGTTGTCAGATAAAGACTGGGTGCATGTATACAATGATGGTTCTATAAGAGCAGGTAGGAAGAACGGAGGAGCAGGTGTTTTCTGAAAACATTTCTGACTTACTTAGCCACAAACTTTGAAGGATATATCACATCAATCGAACTGGTAATGGAGGACTTGATTAAGGTAAACCAGAAATAAGTGGTACTTTAGATTGACTCCCAGGTGCCTATTCTGGCTGGCAGCTTCTAGTGAGGACAGTGAAGTTCAAATATGCAGATATCTTCTACATCAAATAATAAAAAATCTGGTGTGTCCACTCACACGACTTTCCTACCTATTTCAGAAAAGTTTTTATATCTTTACATATGTCCACTAATGAACAAAAAAAACAACAAAACATTGAATTACATTAACTTTCCTGAAAATATATATGAAGGATATAGTGATGCTTGTGTGATGCGGGTAACAGATTTTCTTACTTTCACTTAATTATCTTTTTTCTCTCTCATTCACCCCTTTCTGACACCAGGATATGAACCCGTAATCTTACATTGGAAATTGAATAGCTGTAACTTAGTTAATAGTTTTCTAAAATGAACGATTTTTATATAGTTTTGTAGGGAATTTCATTACCTTTCAACAAAACAGGCTAAACAGAGTTTTTCAGTAATTAATAAATTAAAACATGTTTAGAAAATAGAATATGCTGTATCATGGCTAATACTGGTTTGATTCCGATGATTTTTTTATTATTTTTATTTTGTTAGTAATTTAATTATCTTTCAAAATATATATTATAAATTTTATCTTAGAGTATATACTTACCAAGTTAGGCCCCAAAACTTGATTTTTTTTCTTAAAATTTTTCTTTTTTTTTATAACTTTTTATTCCTAAATGTTCTCGGAAATTTAGTACAGGTACGAAAATTGAAAATTTGTACAGGACAGTTATTCCTATAGAACATTATAGGAAAGTTTCACCAAAATTGATAGAGCCGTTTTTGCGCAACAGTCAATAGAAAAACATGTTTTTCATTTATTGCGCATGGAGCACCCAATTTGTGTCACAGGCATCAGTAGTCAAAACTCTAAAAAATAAAAAAAGAAGCAACAAAATCGGTTCATTAGTTCCCGAGAAAATCTTGGCACAGAC